ACTCGCTCTTTGCTCACGGTGCAATTTCTCCAATTCTACGCGCCGCGATTATTCGGTTTTTTCATGGAGTGGGTATAATCGTCGGTCGCGTGACTTTTCGATCAGCAAAGACTCTTCTAAAAATATTAAAATTCATAGAAATGAGAGATTAAAATAAAGGTTATAAAAATTTTTAAATTTCATGTTATGTATCAAAAATGGGGGGTTTTTTTTTTTACCTTGATGCCCTTCTCCGTGTATCCATATAAAAATCCAGTATTAAATCTTTACTTAGATATTTCATTTTTTTACTGTCAAAATTTATTGAATTGAATTTAGCAAGGAAAATAATGAAAAAATATAGCTTATAAATATCAAAGAAATACTCACAGTTATGATTAATAAAAGGAAAATTTTTTACTTATTTATTTCAAGAATTATATTTTAAAAAATAAAAAGATATTTTTGATTTTTTTGCGCTCACATATCGTTTTTTCTTGTATCACGGGACCTAGGAAGTCCCGAATTAGAAAAAAATTTTGACTAGAATTAACATCAAAAAAAAAAAAAAAAAAAGATTTCCCGGTAAACGGCATCAACTTATTGTTGAAAAAAAAAAAAAAAAAAAAAAAAAAAAAAAAGATGCCAAGACGTTTGATAAAATGATAAAAGATCTCAAACCTTAAACATTATGCAGTTCTCCTGATTTCATTCCCAAAAAAGATTTTTTTTTTTTATATTATTAAATTTGTGATTAGCAAAAAGATTTGTTGTCTATAGATTGACCCACCCATACCTGGGAAGTTTGTTAGACACCCTGACATAACTTTCCAAAAAAATATATTTTACGGACATTGCCGTATTAAGAAATTTAACCCATATGATGAATAATAAGTGACAAATATACTAAAAATTCTCTGTTCTTATGAAAATGGAGAAATGTAAGGGGTGACAAATATTTATCACACAAAAATTCACGCACGTGAACATACCACAAATTTTACTGGAGAAATTTTGTGTAATCACGAGGGTTACATAAATTTTATGGAGACGCATTGACGCTTTTTAACTTTTATTTATTCAAGAAACATTATTTTAAATATATTTATCATCTTTTGTAAATAAGTTCACGAGAGAATTTAAAGAGAATTGATTGGAATCAAGCGATTATATAACGTTTGTTGTCTTCCATTCAATTAATAAACATCATATCCGATGCAAATACGGAGAAGGTTTCAAGTAACTAACTTTCATTCTTTAACGGTGACCCATACGACCACTTGAGCCTATTAAATTTCTTTTTTAAAAAGAAAAATAAAAATAAAAAATAAATAAAAGAGAATTATATTTAAAGAAACTTACATGTTCTCGTCGTTCTAGCGGTATTCTGATCATTTCATCCATTACTTGCAAAGATATGAAAGCCGTCAAGTCTTAAATTAATCTGGCCCGATCGACATGAAGATCAACCAGCAATCCGTCATAACTTTAAAATTAAGCATGTCAAAAATCCGTGTAGCTTGGTGGCGCAGCAGTAACAAATAACATGTGACGACTAGTATTTGGACCACTTAAAAAACGAGTCGCTGAGAAAAATTGCATCGCGACAATCACGTGATAAAGTGACAGTTAAACATCACATAATAGCACAAGCCACATTTATTATGAACTGCGCCACCAATGTGTCGCCATGCATAATATATTTGTAAACCCAATCAATTGATTGAGCGCAGCTATCAATATCAAAAATCCGAAAACGACTTTATTATGTTGCGATGAATAATCTCGTAACCAAGAAAGATCTTGAATTAGTTATGGAATTTCATCTTGCTCGATTTAATAAAAATTTTATCAATCTGTTAGGCAAGGAAGGAAGCAATGAAACTATAAAGTTATTTCATCAATTCGATATTTTATATTGTCATTAAAGCACAATTATAATATATATTTTCTTATAAAATTTATTAAAAAATGACGAACGGCGTTAATTTTTGTACAGCTTTTTCGAAGATACACACATTATAATATATAATTACAGCTTAAAATCTTAAATACTAAATATTCCATAATACCCTTTTACCCGAATAAATTTGTCCGTTTTAATTATTCTCGATTTTCGTTCTTTTAGTCGTTCGGTATAGTCGCGATGTTCGTTCGTTATATCCGGCGAAGTTGGAATCGGAGCGAATGTTGACGATATCCTTAAATTTTATTTTTTGTGGTTATTTTTTGGGGATATTATATATATATATATATTTATAATTTTTGAAATTTTGATATTTGATATAGGTCGATGTTTTCATTTTATTTTTTTATTTAGGCGGTCGATTTAAAAAAGAAGGCTTTCGATCCTTAGCGTAGGATAAGGAAGAGGATGGAGAGAGATTGGTAGTCTTCTTGGCCTTCTTCGAGGTCTTGGGCGACATCGATTGTTGTTTTATGTGAACGAAACGTCCGAAGTACAAAATCTGCAGTTTGGTTCGACATGACGACGACGAAGATTACGATTCATATTTACCATTTTATGAAATATGAAATATGAATTATGAATAAAATTTTTTTTAAAAAAAAAAAAACAACTCAGTCAAACCCGGACTTATTTATATAAAAATATCGATTACAAAAATACCTTGACAAATGAAGGAACTAATTCGTTATTTCCATTTAACAATAACTTGATTCCGTGATTGGTGTGGTATTTCATGATTGATAAGGCGTGTACGTGTGAAGAATCTTGTGTGTTCTGTTTTGTTGAAAGAAATCGGACCGGTCCCGTTATCTTTTAAGAAAGACTATTTTGGATATATGAAACGCAAGATTCCCCAATTAAAATTTTTTTTGTGCTAGTGAAAGGGACAAATGTAAATGTAATGTCAATGATATCAATGACATTTTAGGAGATATGAAAGAATTGGTCTAACCATTTGATAACGTTTGTTTTTGTAAGTTCATTGACCCATTTTATCAAAGCTTTTATAATAAGAAATAGGAAAAGGGGATGGTCAAAAAAAGATAAGTTCCTATTTAACAGGTTATTGTTTGTAAGTAGAATCATTTTAAGTGCATTGCAGTAAGTAACTCATGTGCCAAAATAAATATAACTAAATAGGATTAAATGAAGGTGTATAACATTATCAATATTATAAACGATTAATAAAAAAAAAAATAGAAACTGTGATGTTTAGTAAATTTAAAATATTAATTTATTTATTAGATTATTTCAATTCCATTCAAAAAAAGAAAAGAAAAAAAAGAAGAAATAAGAAAGATAAAACCAAAAAAAAATTGGTTAGGGATATATAAATTCGGAAAATCTTCTTATTTGCTCTTAAAAAAGAAAAGGAAATAAGTACGCAACATTCGATCAAATGAGTAAACGGATTACCACAAAAGTCAATAAATTTTTTGAAATTTATCAATTGAGAAATCCCTTCAATTTCAAATAAATTATGACAGTCAAGCGGATGGTTTTCGACAGGTGTGATAAAAGATGTCAATTTATGAACCCGTTTTGAATTATGCAGGGGGAATTTGATAAAAAAATTTTTTTCAGATGGCGTTAAATTATTGGTGATTGCTTACAAAAATCTAGATGTTACAAAGCAATTCCGGTAGATCATCAGCAAATAAGAGTATGGCTGAACGTTGCATCCGTCATCTGGTAAATGTTCTTATCAAAATTCTTCCCAGACTATTTCAAAAATGAAACTTTTTACTTTCAAAAAGGGTATGTATTTGCACTGCCCCCAACTTTTTTTTTTTCGAAAAACATATTTTCAATTGTATTGTTGTGCTATCTATTGTCTTATTTATAAGTTCATGTGAATTTGAAACTAAAAATAGATGTCATCAGATCAAATATATTTTTTTTTTTTTTTTTTTTTTACAAAAAAACGCAATTAAATATTAAATTAATCTTCCACATTTTTTGCATAAAAATAAAAATATCTATAAACGAACTCATAAAATTATTAAAACGTCTTATATCACTAAAAACCTTTATATTTTAACAAAAATAACAAAGTTACGCTAAAAGCTAGAAAAAAACGGTTATAAAAAATTTATTAAAAAAGCAAAACCTTATCTCATTTTTGTGGATACACATTCAAGCTGTGCGGATTCACACAATCAAACAATTTATGTGAATACAAATTTAAAATATTGGATTATTTGGATGGATATTCCCGAGTTCTAATGTCTATCTATCTACTTTGCATAGAATATTTTATAAAATATCAAGAAGTATTACAATTAACAATAAATATTAAACTAGATATTCTATTTTAGTTAATATAAATTAAAATTTAATTTTTAATTTAATCAAAAATGAATTTGCTGTATAATGGGAGGTTTGCTATTAAAATCACGATACGGATCATATGATTTATTATGTTCATAATTCCAAAATTGTAAATATTTTAATAAAAGTTTTGATAGATTTTTTGATAAATTTTCAATATTATATATAATAGAGTAAATTTATTCATCGCGCGCGCGATGCATCGCCTCTGGGCAAAATTATGTAATGCCGGCTAAAATTAAACATATGACATCTAACGTGAGGTGTGAAGAATAGATTTGTTAAAAAATTTCCAAGTTCCCAGAATATATATATAAATGAAAAGGAGGGGATATGATACGGGTAACATTAGGGAGGTGATGATATCACACACATAATATATTAATTAAAGGAATTACAACTGATATACTGCTTATTATATTCAAATTTATAAAATTTTATTTAATGAAAATTTCTAAGTTTACACTATGTGTATCGAACACTAATCACGTGATTATTAGTTATCACGTGATATATTTAGAAACGTCATGTTTGATCGTTGCAATTGTATATAATAAACTTTGTTGATTGTCACGTGATTTACATCAATAACTATTGTTCTATTGTTGATGTTACCACGATTGTTTGTTTATTTGTCTTTACTCCTTTACCATAACCTTTCTTCCATTTATTCGAACGATTTTGTATCAGCGATTTAACATCTTCTGAATCTTATACAAGCATGTCGATATATCATATGTACCTATTATCGGAAGCGGTAAGTTTTTGTTCGCATCTCAACATATAATTTCGACATCTAACCAAGCCACTTTTTTTTATTTGTTATCATTCATTGTTGCTAGGAGGATTTAACAAGTGATTTTACAGGATCAACCTGCTTGGATGATTCATATTTCGATTGTTTGAACGAGCATCATATTAGAGAATCAGTCAATCTCAATGATGAAAAAGTCGGTGGCGATTGTTATGATTCTACTGGGGATAATATTGCCTTTGTTGCTAAAAGTAGAGGTAGTTATGAGTCCTCTTGTAGTAATATTGATTACTTGGGTAGTGGTAGTGGTACTTCTGGACATTTAGCTAATCTTCTCATTAGAAGGTCAACCGATCCTAAAGATGAAAATGATAAAAACATTTATTATGATTCTATTGGTAATAATGTTGTTTCTGTTGATTGTGATGTTACTTCCCTGACTAGAGTTAGT